TTTCTTTTAATAGTAGGCTGATATATCCTGATAAATTTGCCCCCCCCTTTTTTGATAGCAAACAGCTATCTAAAGTTTCAATCTCTGATTATTCACAGTTAGATCACAGGTTTAATTCCCATAAAATACAGTAGACAGTGCTGTTCCCTGTGACCAAAAACTCCCCACCTAACTCCTGTTGGCTGCTCATTAATAGGAACCAGGCAAGGAAACCTGTCTGAATACAACAGTAGAAAATCCATTCCCTACCACTGAATACACAACTCCAAGTTAAAGTCCCACCATGGATTTTAGGATGTGAAAATCTGGCTGCAACTTCTAATGCCCCAGGTTTTCTGAATCTTTTGCCAGGTATCTCCTTTTACTTTTCTTTTTACCCCACACATACCTTTTTTAGTAGAAAGATGATCTGTTTGCCCACTCAGCTTCCATCCTCTCGGCTTCAAATAGTAACATGCTACTTCCATTTTCTCTTGGAAAACTACTTTTGAATTCTCAGACTCTGTTGGGATTGGAGCAGAAAAACACCACTCTGTCTAGCTCAGTTTAATTAGCATGTACATTTCTTTAGGTCACAGTGATTAATTCAAAGGTGAGCATGTGATCTTGTCAGTCTAATGAGAGTGAATTCTGAGATTTTTGATAGAGCTCATGGGAAGACATTGTTACTTTGTGTATTTTTGAACTAGTATACTGTATTAGTCCATTTTCACACTGTTATAAGGAACTACCTGAGACTGGGTAATGTATAAAGAAAAAAGGTTTAATTGACCCACAGTTCTGCGTGGCTAGGGAGGCCTCAGGAAATTTACAGTCACGGCTGAAGGTGAAATGGAAACAAGGCACATCTTACATGGCAGCAGGAGAGAAGCTGGGGGTCGGGGGGAACTGCCACATACTTTTAAACCATCAGATCTCATGAAAACTCACTCATTATTATCACCTCCTGTGCTAAACTATTTGAATACTTTGGTTTGCTAAATCCCTCCCAAAAACATTGTGCATGTGACAGAGGAAGAGTTAAAACTCAGAGAGTTTGGCTAGCTAAAGTCCTACAGCTACAGGACTCCAGCTCAAATATTACTTCAAAGCCAGTCCTCACCACCAAAGCCTTCAGGTATTTGATTAACTCTTTATAATAGTTGGCAGACTCTCATATAGGACATTCTGTGTGCCAGGAACTGTTGTAAACCCTTAACACATAAACTCATTTTATCCTCTCAAATACCCTAGTAAGCATAATTACCCATTTGATAGATGATAAAACAGAAATATCAACTGATGAATTAAGTTTCCTGAGATTACACATGTAGTCCGTACATGAGCTAGTCTTTGCACCCAGATCATCTGACTCCACAGCTTAAATTCTGAGATAATTCAATAAATTTTCTCCCTCGGATTTTCCAGATGAATTAACATGGTTCAATAACAATTTCTTTAGGCATAAAAAGCTGCACTTAAGCGTTGAGATTATCTGCTGGATGAAACAACTCATCTTCAAATTTCTGTTCCAGATTCCCTTAACTGACATCTAGTGTAGCAGATGCCATTTGCATTTTTAGCATTCAGTTCACTTTCTTCCTTTCTAAAAATGCGATGCATCAGTCATGCATCCTGATTTTGTTCTTGTCTTCTCCTTACCTCTTTGTAGAGTGACAACCAGAAATCAGAGACTACTCGAGGCCAAGGAAATTTCTGTATTCTTTCAAGATGAGTATCTCATAATCTCACCGATGTGATTTTGAGATACTCTCAAAGAGATACATAAATCAAGGGATGTATTTAAAAAGAGGTGATACTCACCTGGCCTAGATATTTCTTCCTGGTTTTGTGCCACCAGACAATTTCTGAGAGAGATGCCCTGAAGAGGAACAGCCTACGAATCCTAGACTCCAACCCTACTGGTGAGCTAGCAGAGAAGGAGAGAGAGGAGTTGTGGTTTCTCCTGAATGGCATAGATATTTACAAATTGTTCTAGGAAAGTCTTTCTGCAAGACTTCTTCTCCTTTATGATGTTTTCTTGTTAATTGTTCTGAAGCATTACAAATGACATGACTCAAATCTAACATTTATTGTTAAGCATGTACCCGTGTGTTTTATTTCTTTTTAGCAGCCTATTAAGTGGGAGGTACAGTCTTAACCTGAATGATCTGAGAAAACACAAACCTTTTCTTACCATGGGCCACTTGTGTTAGCAACGATAGGCTATTATGTGGAGTAGCAAGCATTGCCAACGTCAGTAGTGTGACACAGTAAAGGTCTGTTTCTCGCATTTTTAAAGTTCACTTCAGGTCCAGGTTACTCTATGAGACAGCTCTCTTCCATCGGGAGCTCAGTGTTCTAAATGGTTTCAAAGTTGACACACCTCTATATCTACCCATGCATTGTTTTTTCTATTACCATGGCAGAGGAGGAGAACAAGGACAATCTCTCACCCCTCAAATCAGACATGTAACTTGTGCTTACATCTCCTTGGCCATAACTCGTCACATGGCCCTTCTTAATGCAAGGGGACCCCAAGAAAGTGTCATTCTTCATATATCCAAAAATAGAGGAGAAGAAGATATTGGTGAGTAGTACTGATGTTTGCTATCTGCCAACTTAGAAAGAACCTGGAAGGGCAAATAATTACTATTCCCTTGACTTTGGATCAACAAAACAGCCAAATAATCCTGCAAAGTCTAAATGGCTAACACATAAGAAATTTCAAAACCTCCCTTAGTAGTCATTACAAGATTTTTAAATACTATAATTTATTGAGGTTAAATTCATAGAACATAAAATTAACTATTTTAAAGAGAACATTAAGTAACATTTATTACATTCTCAATGTTGTGCACCTTTATCTAGTTCCAAAATATTTCCATCACTCCAAAGTAAAACATATGAAGCAATTACTCTTTATTTTGCACTCTCTTTATCCTCTGACTGTCATCAAGCTGTGTTCTGTCTCTATATATTTATCTATTCTGGATGTTTTATGTATTAGGTAGGTGTAAAAGAAACCAAAATTACTTTTGCACCAGCATTATATGTATATATACACACACACATACACATATATATATAGAATAGAATCATATAGTTGATGACCTTTTGTGTCTAGCTTCTTTCATTTAGTGTGTTTTAGAGGTTCATCCATGTTGTTTTATGTGTTATTACTTGATATGGCTTGGATTTGTGTCCCCACCCAAATCTCATGTCAAATTGCAATCCCAATCCCCAGTGTTGGAGGAGGGACCTGGTGGGAGGTGACTGGCTCATGGGAGTGGATATCCCTCTTGCTGTGCTCCTAATAATGACTGAGTTCTCAGGAGATCTGCTGTGTGTGTGTGTGTGTGTGTGTGTGTGTGTTATCACCTCCCCCTTCTTTCTCTTCTTCCTTCTCTGGGCATGTAAGACATGCCTGATTGTAAGCTTCCTGAGACATCCTCAGCTGTGCTTCCTGTGAGAAGCTGTGCTTCCTCCTCAGCCTGCAGAACGGTGAGCCAATTAAACCTCTTTTCTTTATAAGTTACCCAGTTTCAGGTATTTCTTTATAGCAGTATGAGAATGAACTAATACAGCAATTCATTTCTTTTTATGGAAGAGTAATACCCTAGTATATGCATTTATTACAATTAGTTTATCCATTTATTAACTGAGGGACATTTAGGCTGTTCCACCATTTGGCTGCTGTGAATAGTGTTGCTATGAATATGTGTGTACACGAATGTGTTTGAATTCTGTTTTCAGTTCTTTGGGGTATACATATAGGAGTGAAATCCTAGGGTCTTATGCTAATTTTATGTTTAACATTTTAGAATCCAATAAACCATCACAGCTATATTTGTAAAATGAACCATTTTACATTCCTACACTAATGTACAAGAGTACTCCTTTCTCTACATCCCCACCAACACTGGTGGAGATTCTTTTTTTATTACAGCCATCTTAGTGGGCATGAAGTAGTATCTCATTGCATCATTGATTTACATTGCCCTAATGGCAAATATGTTGAGCATATTTTCATGTACTTGTTGGCAATTTATGTATTTTCTTTCAGAAAAGGTCTATTAAAGTCCTTTGCCCATTTTCTATTGTCTTTTTGTTGTTGAGTCATAAATATTTTTAATATCTTCTGGATACTTGATTCTTATAAGATATGTGATTTGGAAATATTTTTTCCCATTCTATGAATTTGCTTTCTGTTTTCATGAGGATGTCCTTCGATGCACAGAAGTTTTGAATTTTGGCCAGATGTGATGGCTCACATCCCTGCAGGAGTGTTGCTTGAACACAGGAGGTTGAAACCAACATGAGCAACATAGCGAGACCTCGTCTCTACAAAAAAAAAAAAAAGAATAAAGAGTAGCCAGGTGTGGTGCGTGGTCACACACCTGTAGTCCCAGCTACTTGGGAGGCTGAGGTGGGAGAATCACTTGAGCCCAGGAGGTTGAGGCTGCAAGTGAGCTATGATAGCGCACTCTAGCCTGGGTGACAGAGGAAGGCTCTGTCTCAAAAAAGAAAAAGTTTGAATTGTGATGAAGTTTAGTTTATCTGTCCTGTCTTTTGTTGCTTATGCTCTTGGTGTCATATATCAGAATCAATGGAGAAATCCAAGATGATGATGATTTAACTGTTTTCTTCTCAACGTTTTATGGTTTTAGCTTTTATATTTAAGTTATTAATTCATTTTAAGTTTTGTATATGGTTTGAGGTAGGATTCCAATCTTATTTTTTTACCTATGGGTATCCAGTCGTCCCAGCACTTCTTTTAGAAGAAACTAATCTTGCCCTCTTTGAATGGTCTTGGCACCCTTGTCAAGGATCAATTGGCCACAATTGAATGGGTATTAGTAGACATTTCTAACATAAAATAAGTCTTACAATTATAAAATATTTGTTTATATCATACTTACAAAAATATTCGTTTATTTCTTACTTAAATCCCTCAGCTTTCAGTTTAAGACATTTTCTCTTCTTGTAAACTATAACAATTATAACTACCCAAACTGACATTCAGCTAACATTTATAAACAGCCTCCTAAATAAAAACAATGTACTTAATTCTGGGGGATAAAATATGAATAATACATAGTCTCTGCTTTATAGAAATATCACAACCCCATGGAGGAGAAAAACATATATGAAAATAACTATGCTTGTCTTTTACAAAGGCAGTAAGGAAAGACTGATTCATTTTGACTATGAGTGTCGCGGAAGACATCATGAAATGGAGAGTGTGCAGAAGTATTACAGCATGAACTATCTTGGGTAATAAAAAAGTTTTTTTCTGATGATTTTATTTTAAAATTCTAAAACGGGTTATGTTAACTCTTACCTTAGATGCTATTTTAAAATGGCCAAGATGCTAAATGTTGCAATTGTTTAATTGCAATAATTCAGTTGCATCCAGATTACAGTTATTTTATTGGTAGCTAAGGAGTTAAATCTTTCAACATTTTCTCCTGATTTGAGTGTTTCAGAAAAAAATGCTTCAGTATAGAAAGAGAAAATATTTGTAATAGTACATTTGTCTTGATGTTTGTGTTATGAGCACAACAAAACAAAACTGAGGTTTGTAGCATGTGATTTCCAAGTGACTCTGAGATGGAGATTTGCTTACATGTGATTTATTGGAGAAGGCTCATGAGGTTACCGTCTGTGAAGGAGTGAGAAAAGCGGAATTTGGCAAACGGAGGAACTGAACTGAAATGTAGTTATAGCGAGGTATCAGCTGATCCCATGGAAAGCTCTAGAGCCGGGATAGCCCTTCAGAGATATCCCAAATTGAGGTAGAAGGAGTGGATCTCTGTATGTTACATACATCACTCTTTGGATGTGTGGGCTATTCTTGGTAAGGGTGTGTAACCTTGGGCAAGGTGATTGCTTTAGGCTGAGGGCAGTTCCTGGAGACAGAATTGGCTGTGAGGTGTCAGCAGGTAAGTGTGATGGCTTATGCCTGTAAGACAAGCTACTTGGGAGGCTAAGGCAGGAGGATCACTTGAGCCCAAGAGTTCAAGGCTGCACTGAGCTATGATAGCACCACTGTACTTAAGCCTGGGTGGAAGAATAAGGCCCTGTCTCTAAAATTTTTTTTATTAAAAAAATAAAAATAACCATTTCTTCCACCTAGAAAATAATTATCTTGGTCTTGAATGGGAGTCTGAGCCATACATCACAGCATTCACTACATCCAATATAGGCATAGCTATATACTACAGCATCCACTACAGTATTAATATGATGGCCATTTTAGAAGAGGAAAGAGACTCAGTAGTTAACTGTCTGCCCAAAGTCCTACATCTATGATCGGCAGAGTTAGTACCAAAACTGAGGTCTTTAAATTCCAAGTTAGATTGCTTTTAAGCAACATTATTATCCCTCAAAATGCACAGTACCATTTCATCTAAAAAACATTTAAATCCAGGTGAACTTCAGTCAGTTAGATTTCACAACTCACACGTGGGATTCCCCCTTTTCCTTCCAAAACAAAATTCAGTTCTCAACTTGCCTGTGTCGAGGAATTCTTCTGAACCTCCTGTCCTGAAAATGAGGTAGTCTTGTTTCACACGCAAATGTGTGCACTTATGCAAACTTTAAAAGAAGCATATAGGATGAAAGAGGAATATTTTTGGAATTATTATTAAATTAATGGAACAACACAGCATCCAGACATCTATGCCATTTTCAGGCTACAAGATAGGGAAAAATAGATGTGTATGTGCATGTGTGTGAATGTGTGTGTTAACAAAGGACGATATGCATGAAGATTGGGGGAGAGATGCACAAAGTGGTCACAATGTCAGCTTGAGGCAAGAAGTAATTGGCTGGAAAGCCAGAAAGAATCAAGCCTTTTCAAGCAATGTTCCCTTTATTTCTGACATGCTGCCTTGAGGGCCAAGAGGAAGACAAAGCAAGCCTCTACCTCCAAGGGCCTGAAAATCAGTTCCTAGATGCTTGAGTTCCAGCCCCTGAGAATCTGCCATGTTGGGATTTAGAAGATCATTGCATTGTACTTGCAATCAGTATCCAAGCACATTAGAAGACAGTAGGAAACGGAGCCCAAGGGTGAGGATTTAAAGAAGGGTTTGGGTCTCTACTTCACCTAGGTGTATGACTGGGACAAGGGTGGTATCACTTGAAAAAAACTAAGATTTTTTTTTTTGTTGTTTCATTTAATGTAGAAAGTTTATTTTGCCAAGGTTGAGGATGTGTACCCATGACACAGCCTAAAGAGGTCCTGATGGCATGTGCCCAATGCGGTCAGAGCACATTTGTTTTAGACATTCTGGGGAGATTTGAGACATCCATCAACAAATGCAACATAAACATTGGTTTAGCTTGGAAAGGCAGGATAACTCAAAGCAAATGTGGGAAGACTCAAAGCGAGGAGGGGGCTTCCAGGTCACAGGTAGATAAGAGACAAATGGTTGCATCCTTCTGAGTTTCTGATTAGCTTCTCCAAAGGGGACAATCAGATATGCATTTAACTCAATGAGCAGAGGGGTGACTTTGAAAACTAAGATTTCTTATCTGTAAATGGAATGATTACACCAATTTCATAAGGTTATTACAATTATAACATTGATGTGATATATATTAATATCCTCGTACTCAGCCCTTATGGTATGACTGATTTAGAACTCTGTTAGCTCTAGGGTATATTTTATTTGTGAATGTGTGTGCATGTTCACTGAACCTAAAAAGATTGGAATATATTATCACATTTTAGAGCAACAGTGTGCAAAGAAACTTTTTTGGTGTTGGGAATGTTCTTTATCTCTACTGTCCAATATGGTAGGCACTAGCCCCGTGGGACTATTGAACACTTGAAATGTGACTAGTGTGACCTAGGAACTAAATTTTGAGTTAATTTAAATTCATTTAAGTGTAAGTTTAAATAGAAGCATGTAGTAGCAGCTACCACAATGGAGTATTCAAGATGGAAGTTATCTTAGATATTATCTAATCCAAAGTGATCATTAACAGGGGAGAATGTACATATTTCAGAGAGATGTGAAGTAACATGCTCAGAGTTTCACAATCACTGACGGCAGAGCCAACATTTGATCAAGCTCCAGGATTTTAGATCCAAGGCATCACATTGCCACACGGCGTAACAAAGTTAATAACTTAAAGATACTGGAAAGTTCACAGCAGATGCAGGGCTAAAGTTATAATTATCATCAGTACCATAATCATATGAACTCTCAATTTCTGAGCATCTACTCTTTGTATAGTAGAGAACAGCCAAGACTGTTGTCTTGACCTCTGTACTAAAATGCCTCCTTGCCAAGACCTTAAAAGCTTTACTGACAAGGCAGGACCCTGTATCTCTGCAGGATTTCCCACTGATCTTCCCAGCATGTGAATCTTACCAATGCCTCCAGTGTGCTGGTCATTTCTTGCTCATCTGGTCTGATTAGCACAATGTAATCAATAAAAGGAATCTGTGTGTGATTCTGTGAACTGTCTAGGCGGTCCAGATCTCCTCAGACAGTTAGGACAGAGGGTGAGGAAGTTAACATAGCCCTTAAGCAAAATGGTGAATTTATTTTGCTCTCCCTTCAAGACAAGCAAACTGTTTCTAACCCCCTTTTCTAATAAGACAGGAGCAGAACACGTTCCTCAGGACAATGGCCACGTACCATCTCCAGGACCCATGTTAATCTGCTCTAGCAAAGCTGCCGCATTTGGCACAGTAGCTGCAAATTGGGCTACTACTGGTTGAGTTTGCAGTAGTTTACTGTTAACCTCCAGGATCTTTCTGTTTTGTGCAAAAGACAGACTGGTAAGTAAATAGAGAAGAGATGGAGACCCCTGTTTAATGTGGAGCTTGGTAACATTTGTCGTAAAGTGCTAGGTAGTAAATATTTTAGCTTTTATGAGCCAAGCAGCAAAATTGAGATTAGTATGTAGGTATCTATCTACATCATTATTAAAATGCAACCATTCAAAAGTGTAAATCTCACAGGTAGCATGCCAGGGTGGTCTAGTTTGCCAACCCCTCATTTAATTCCTTGTCTTTAAAGTTGCACCGATTTCTGCTGAACTCTTCAAGATGATATATTCATTTTGATTTATTATCTTGTCCAGGAGGGCAGTTTCAGAGGCTTCGACCTGTCCTTCCTTACTTTGGTGGCTCTTGTCTCATAAGTAAAGGACCCACTATGAGAATTTGAGCCAAATACCCAATAGAGCTATTCCATTAATACATTCAGGGACTGGAGAAATGACCAAGGTGTTAGGCCATTCTTGCATTGCTATAAAGAAATGTTCGAGACTGTAAATTTATAAAGAAAAGTGATTTGACTGGTTTATGGTTCTACAGGCTGTACAAGCATGGCACCAACACCTGCTTGACTTCTTGTGAGGGTCTCAGGAACCTTATAATCATGGTGGAAGGCTAAGGGGAAGCAGGAGTGTTACATGGCCAGAGCAGGAACAAGACAAAGACAGGAAGGCGGTGGCACACACTTTTAAACAGTCAGATCTTGAGAGAATTCACTATCACGCGGACAGCACCAAGCCATGAACGATCCACCCTATGACCTAAACACCTCCCACCAGGCCCCACCTCCAACACTGGGGGATTACATTTCAATATGAGACCTGGGCAGGGACAAATATCTAAATCATATTAACCAACCAGAGATGCTGAAGATGTCAGTGAACTCTTTGTTATCTGAATTTGAGCCAGGACCATACTGGTTTCCCAGTCCCCTTTTGCTCTCATTCTAACAGTGGAGGCAATGAGTCTGCTTCAGATGTGTGGATGATCTATGTTAGCTCAGACTCTATCTCCAACAATCCTCAAAATGTGTGGGGATTCCCTTTTCTCCTGTATACAGTGCCTGAGTAAATGGCAATATGCTCCTCTGAGGAAGAACTGGGGGAATCATGACTGTGTACACTTGTAATGGTGTTACAGCATCTTCTGTCCTGGAGATCCCACCTCTTCCTCAATCTATAGGTTCCAGGGCCCCAAACTGGCTCAGATCAGAAAAGTACACAAGGGACTATGACTTAGTCCGGCACCAGGCACCAGACTGGAGCGCAGTGGCGCGACCTTGGCTCACTGCAACCTCTGTTTCCCGGGTTCAAGCAATTCTCCTGCCTCAGACTCCCGAGTAGCTGGGACTACAGGAGCATGCCACCAAGCCCAGCTAATTTTTTTGTATTTTTAGTAGAGACAGGGCTTCACCATGTTGGCCAGGATGGTCTCGATCTCTTGACCTCGTGATCCACCTGCCTTGGCCTCCCAAAGTGCT